GTCACGTCCCGTCGCCACGGCTGCTGTACCATCGCTGAGTGGCCGGGTCACCGGCTCGGCTCCTCAGCGAAAACCTGGTATGCGTTGCACCGGCTGCCTTTTTATGCTCACGCTGTGATCAGCGGCAACTGGATGCTATCATCGCATGCCAGTGTGCATTGGCTCGTTTAGTTTACACTCGAAGTGGATTGGTCTCTCTAAGCGAAATTCCAATTCGTCAGTCACCGACGTGACGTCTCCGTTCCCTCCTTCAGGGAACGAGGGTTACATACGTAACCGAGACGTTTTTCAAGGTAATGAATCCAAATTTGAGACAGAAAGACTAGACTGCAAACAGTGTTATTTCGGGGCATTTAAAACTAAAAACTGATACGTTTTATTGTCTCTGTGTGAACTAGTAAAATGCAAATTTGTAAAAATGGTGACATCATGCATATGGGTATTACATGTTGGCCTAGTGTTTCTTTACATAGTGACATTGCCAACTACTGGCCTGGCAACCATAATACAGTGTTTTTAGTCGTTTTCACGGATCTGTGTAAATGAGGATCATTTTGACAGTGTTGCCCACCTGTATGTGAGATTTTTCAAAAACGCAAAGAATTTTTTTTTCTGTTTTCAGTACACCATTGTCATGTAAACGTACCCTCAGTATCACTGATAAGCTATTATAGTTTTTATTAATATTTTTATATTTATTATATAAATTATTATTATATTTTATTTCCTTATTTTATATTTTTTATTATTATTTACAATTTTAGTCATTTTGTTGTTTTTATCACTTTTAGTAGTCTTTGTATTTAAATATGTCTATATTGTTTTTATTTTTTGTTTTTCATTTTTTCAGTTAATGTTTATTTTTTTAATTAAAAAAATATTCCAAACATTTTGAACTATCTAAAAATGCTTAAATCAAGTTATATTTACTTGAGAAAATTATTTAAAATTTAAACCTTGTTTTAAAAAAAAAAAATCATCAAAATTAAGTGAGTGGATTTATAAAACAAGTAAAAAATATCTGTCAGTGGGGCAAGAAAAATAATCTTAAATATAGCTGCAAGCAGCAATTACCGGGGTTCAAATGCTTTAAGGCCTTTAAGGTTCTATGCTTTTAGAGTCTAGGCCAACCCGAAATGTATGGCTGACACTAAAACACATCCATGAATACTCTAACAGAGACACACACATAGACGTGAAAGGTAAAACTATTATATTAAAACTCATTAAGAATTCAAATTTCATTGGCTGATGGCAGCCATGTTTTTTGAGATATGCGAATGTCCTCATAGACGCTTGTGGCACTTTAGATAAAGACACGGCAAACCAATTTTCAAGTTGACCGGACTAACGGGTGCATATACTTATAGCCGTTTTTATGTCTTTTTTCCCCTGTTATAGTGCCACCAAGTGGCCAACCTTCGTGTTTATTTTTACTGTAACCTCAGAATGAGCTTTTACATAGGTGTTCTGAGTTTGGCAAAAATATCTCTTTCCATTCAAGAGTTATAGTAGAGTCAAGAGTTAGAAAAAGCGGCTCCGCCCCTTACAACGTTTTGGCATCCTGTCGAGATGGTGAGTCGAATGTTCAACATTTTTGATAATTATTGGTATTAACTCTCCAGAGAATCTTTCTGCACTGGTTTGGTTCCTATCAGGTGAAAAACCTAGGACTAATTCGCAAAAGTATGCTTATCGAAAAATCCAAAATACCTGAAAATTTTGCAGTGACAATCAAATCATGTGTTTTGTCCGTCGTGAACCAACCAAGGATTCCAAGGATAAACGGCACGTGAGCATGCGACTAATGGTTTAGGAGTTATAAGCGATTTTGTACTTGTACTGTAGCGCCCCCATCAGGCCAATTAGGGCGAGCCTTGATGACGTTGTAGACGGTGTGAGTACTACCATCCCTCCAAATTTCAAGTCTCTACGACTTACGGTTTGGTCTGACCAATCAGATTTAGGTGGAGATTGCTGATCTTTGCCATTTTAACAATTACATTAGGGTTTCAGCGCTATGTGCTTAAACCCCTATTTAAAGGGAAAACAAGATTATTTTTCTGACCTCATTGGTGGATATTTTTCTTGTTTTAAGCATAATCTCATTTAGTTTTAATACATTTTTCAATAAACAAGACGAGCCATTTTGCGTCTCAAGTAAATATATCTTGATTTAAAAGTGTTAAGCTATTCATACCAGAAAGCGAGACAAAAACATTAAGAAAACAACTTTTTGCAGTGTAAAATTGCCCTTCAAAAATGAAGCTCTGGAAAATTGTATTAAATACAAACACACATTTAAAAAAATCATTATTAATAAGAGTTGGGCATGCAGTGCAATGCATTAATTACTGATGGCTTATGAATTATGTGTTTGAAGCACTTTTGCAGTGGAAACTGTTCATTCTTTTTGACTGTGAACTAGCAAGCCTAAACTCTGAACACCAGCAGTGTTCATTATGCAAAATTCACTAGGTTAATGATATTGTCATTATCATTAGTTCATGAGCACTGACTGATCATGTTGAAAATTAGAGTAATCACTGCAGATTTGTGTATGAACCCACAGGACATGTAAAATATCTCAATTGTTTCTCCTGACAGAAGTGTGATTAAATGTCAATGTAGAATTTTTTTGCTGGCTCTCAGATGTTTTTCAGAAGTCATAGATCTTAATACGAACTTGAATGTTTCTTATGAAATACTCCCAAGATCAAATTATCTGCTATTCACATTAATTGTATAGCTCTAAACTTTTACTATAAGACTCACTTATTTATTTACGTTTATCTCATATTTCAGAAATTTTAGACAAAATTGATATTACTGGTCAAAAGTTTGCAATAGTTAGGATTATTTAATGTTTTTGAAAGAAGACCCTTATGCTCACCAAGGCTGCATTTATTTGATCAAACATTATGAAATATTATTACAATTTAAAATAACTGTTTCTATGTGAATATATTGTCAAATGTAATTTATTGCTGTGATGCAAATCTGAATTTTCAGCATCATTACTCCAGTGTCTTCAGTGTCACATGATCCTTCAGAAATCATTCTAATAATACTGATTTGCTGCTCAAGAAACATTTATGATTATTAGCAATGTTGGAAACAGCTGAAACACTGTTAAAAACAGATGCAAACTTATTTAAAATACATAAAAAATGTCTTAATTATTACAAACTTTTGACCGGAGTGTAACTAAAGCTAAAATGAAGAATACATTTAAGTAACAACTGAGAAATAATATTGGCGCCTTACTGAACATAAAATCTGGTTGGAACAGAAGTTGTCATGTTCAGTAGCTCTTCACTCTGAGGGTAATCAGTATTGAAAATATTTAAAGATTGCATACAAAAAGCCTGTCTAATGATGTTGACTGCATGTAACACAGCTTGTTACAACATTTCTGAGGTCTGTTGGGTTTGTCTTCACATTTCCGTTTTCACAGTGATGTGCTGTAGATAAGCAGCGTTCCTGCGTGGCACACAAGCTGATGAACACTAGCATTCACACTAACTACCTGCTGTCAGGTGCTGCGTTCCCTCCTGTCTGCTTGTTCGTGGAGTAACACGCTAACTGTAGCAGGTGGAGAGTTCTGGCGACTCCATCAGATCCAGCAGAGCGCTCGTGTACAAGAACCGCAGATCAGTCAAGATCAGATCGGTGATAATCTCAGCGGTTACTGTTCTGAATGATGTTGATTGGCACAGAAAATAATTGTGACTCAAATCATATTTATTTATTTAAATTAATGTATTTATTCAAAGTTTAAAACTAAATGTGTGATTATTGCAAATGTACAGTTTAAACGTAGAGAGACAGACAGTTATATAGATAGATAGGTCCATCTGTCTATCTATCTATCTATCTGTCTGTCTATCTGTCTGTCTGTCTGTCTTTCCATCCATCCATCCATCCATTTAACCGTCTATTTAATTGTCCATCTATCCATCTATCTATCTGTCTATCCATCCATCCATCCATGCAACAGTGGAAGATGATGGGATAAGAGAAAAATACACACTGTTTTGAAATTGTTGCCTCAAGTCTTTAGACATGTTAACATGAGACTAGTGAGTTTAGTCCATTTACTAAACAAGTAAACTAGATATATACAATCAGAATTATAGATTCTATTATAATTATAGATTATAGTGTTTTTGTGTTGGTTCTTTTGCACATCAGTCTCTTTCCTTTGGTTCTGCAGTTAATAGTTGATTGTGACAGAGCAAGTAAGGACTTTTGATTGTATTTAGAGAGGTAACTTCTTTGACTGCATCTGTTTCCACATGAGTTCACCTCTGATGGTTAAACTCGTCGATCTGGTTCCGTGACTGGTGCATGACGTCCTTGTGATTAGACCTGGTAGACACGATGTCGGCTTTTATTCTTAGACTAACATTGTATCTTTTTAGTAATGTTCTGTGTTTTGTTTCATTTTTATGTGCGTCTATAATCTAAGTTCAATGGTTGGATGACGGTGTACAATGGCATTTCCTGCCGTATTATTACAGTAATTTATTGACAGTAAGGTGTGTTAAAGCAAACACAGTTTCCCCACATGCCATTTTTTATTCTTCATGTCTGTGTCATTTAGTAATAATTATTGGTTGCATTTGAATTGGAATTGAACTGGACTGCATTTTTTGCATGTAAAACTTTAATAGCTTATAATGTTTTGAAACTTAGTTTCATGTAAAAATTAACGAGAGGAAAGTAATGAAGTAAAGTGCAGCAGTAAAATAAAGTGAAGTGTCTAATCCTCTGTTAAATATACAAGGAACAAATGTGTGTACTGAAAATGCAAATGTCATGTTTAGTAGAACTTTCCTAAATTTTACAGCTAAAGAAACAAAAATGATAAATTGGCTTGTATTGAAATACTAATATATAAGTAGTGATCTAATTTAAAATAGGTTTTGCATTGTCTGATACTAATATCTAGAGAGCAGACTGACAAATAATACTTAAAAGAAATTGTACTTGTATTCATCAAGGATACATAATCAAAAGTGACAATAAAGACATTTATAATGTTACAAAAGATTTCTATTTCAAATAAATGCTGTCCTTCTGAACCTAAAAAAAATGTACAGTTTATGTATTGGCTTTTGGGCGATTTTGGATTCTATACAAATTTCCAGTGAACAATTAATCAGCCTGGCTGATATATCAGTTTATTGGTGTGTTTGTGCTTGTATCTCTTCTCTAAACGTTTTCTTTTCTATTTCAGTTGTTCCCAGCAGTCTGATTGTGGCTCCCGATGCCCCAGACCCTGTGGTTCGTGAGGGTGGATCTATCAGACTCCAGTGCAACGTCTCCCGCAACTTCAGCGAAGGAATTTACCTGTCTCTTACGTGGTCATTTAAGAAAGGCTCATCTCTACTAGTGGACCTGCTGACCTTTGGTCCAGATTTGGGTGTGACGGTTGGCGATGATTACATGCTGCGCTACACAGATGGTGGGATGCGTCTAGAAATGGGAAACGGCGTCTCGCACAGTCTCGTGCTCTCCGGAGCGACGCCGGCCGATCAGGGCATGTATGTGTGTACGGCCAGATTGTGGACGAGAGAGCAGGGAATCTGGAACCGCATTCAGGAGAAGACAATGGAGATGGGAGAAGTGACTGTCAACTCTACAGGTAGGCCTGTCACGATAACAACTTTTTGTTGTGCGATATATTGCCCCAGAAATAATTGCGATAAGCGATATTGCCATTTTAAAGACCATTTTATGCCACTGAATATATAATCATAATGTAACAGCATAATAATGCAAGAAGGCCTACACACTTCCAAATGACATCAAACTTTTAATTTTTAAGAATATTTAGATCATGGAAATTAAATATCAAAATATTAGATACCTTAAAAAAC